GAGTTTTCCTCTGTGGCATCCCAACAATTACTCCATTCACACCCAGAAGAAGGCAATGGCAAACCACTTCTGGATCATCTGCCAAGAACGTATATGAACAGGTCCCAGTCCGAGAAAAGGATGGAAGGATCCTGTTCATATGGACCTGTCGTCAGACAGAACACTAAATAATAATAATGAAAAGTTAGGATTCCGGAATTTAAAATATAAAAACAGCAACAGAGTGAAAGCGCCAAAATTATTACACTAAACGTAAACTTTCTGACCTATTAGTGCAAGTATATTATATATGTCTATCTAATAAATTAAAAATATACATAGAAGGACGTAGCCCACTTAAATACATGACAAGTTTAGCATCGATCAATAGTCGAAGAGATTGCTGCGTATGGGAATATCGTGTAGATAGGATGGATGAAGACAGATGGCCCAAGATAGTGTGAAATCATAAACCTAAAGGGAAATATTAAGAGGGGGTGTAAAAAGGCATTAGAAAGTGAATAATTGTTAATATGAATAAAAATAGAAGGATTAGTAATAGAATTTATACAATTATGTTTCTTTTATACATTATTATTTTCTAACAGGTCATGAGTTATTTACTTTGCTTTGGATTTTGAATAACATATTTACTGTCATGCGCCTAGGAAATAACATCGTTCCTAACTATGCTGTGAAAACTATAGTTAGAAAATGGGTAATGTCGGTTACTACTTAAGGATTAATGTCTCTCTTTCTTGTTTCAAGACTACAGCGCACTTTGGTTTCGTGGTAACGTTCTGTAGATCTTGCTTGCTTTCAGGAGGTACTAGATTCCAATCTCGGCTCGTTACCGGGTTTCGTGTTTTCTCTTAGTCTGTACAGGCAAATATCATGATAGCGCCTTCAAGCAGGCAACGACAGCTTCATTCCAGATCTAACCAACTTGATAAAATTCCCGTCTCATCCGACTCTACCTCTGTATTTGAAACAACGCAGTGAAAAACCGTAAAATCTGTCCTTTCTTCAAAGAGATGCCCGTCTGTGTAGGTCCCAACATAGAATATACTGAGTATAAGCAACGTTCTTTTAGGATTTTAGGTTTTCACGGCGGTGAGTTTGAAGATAGTTGTCTTCTGGGTTGTTGCGCCGTGTAGTCTGGTAGAATTTTACCGACGTTTCAGAGGTCCTTGATGCCTCCATCATCATCAGGATCGCCTGATGATGGAGGCAGCTGATTAAACGGCGCAACAACCCAGAATACAATCATCTCCAACGTTCTTTGAATCAGTTCTGATTGTCGCTGATAGATGCCTCTACCGATTTAGCTATACTACCAACATACGTAAAATCATGTGATCGTGGCAACGGAATAAGGAATGTTGGGAACAAATAAATTTCCGAAGGTTGAGTTTAGAATGGAAGTGTTTCCGGAAATTTGCTAATCAATAGTAGTGACAGGTAAAGTAACTAAATTTAGTAGCCCCACTTGGCCGACAAACACAAACATATATATACTTGTTTTCTATTTTCTGTTGCGAATCTAATGTGGCAGTGTTTGATTCATAACTTTTGAAAGTCATTATGTGTCATCGGAGGTAGCCCACTTATATTCAGTTATTTTATTGCAGCATAAAGAACTGTCACAAGTAAGTCAATTTAAACCAAATGTTTCGAGCAAACAATACACATAGTTCTTGGAAGAATACCGCATGTGTCCATATTACATACGTTTATATAGATGAATAATCGAAACCATATTTCAGGATAATGTAGCCTACTTATATGTACTTGTTGTATGCAGTATTCACAAAGTTGTTGATTTTTTTGACTTATTTTGTACCAGGCATAAAATCTAACTGCAAAGGATAATAGCAGATAATGGAGGGGAATTACAGTTTTTCATCATACCATAATGGTGGACCAGGAAGGGAAAAGGATTTCCAGAAACTTGCACAAACAATTGGAACCAGTATTCAGAAGATATCACAAAATGGTAAGTCACTTATAAGTAGCATATTTGTATACTCTGTAAGTTTTAATACTACTATAAGAGCTGCATAAAATAGTTGAAAAATAATAGTTCACAAGATCTACAGATAACACAAATGTCATGGATTCAGGCTATTGAATATCTTTTGAGGTTATTGGTGTTGCATTATGCAGTGTCCATTTGTGCATTATGTTAATTGTTTCTGCAGGTTTGTTTTTATGTGTGTTCACTTTGTCATGATGTCATATGACCAAAATGGTCCAGATTGTTTCTGCAGTTAAAGTATAAAGTCTTCGGCATAGAACTTTAATTTTTTCACTGAAAATACTGGTGTATAATTAAGTAAAACAATTCTAAATAAAAGCCTCAAATCTACATTCATGTTCTAGATCAGCCATCCAGTATGTTAACTTTAAACAGCTGTAAAAGTGACTAACAGTACCAGTATGGTAAGGTGCCCCTCAGTTTCTTAAATATGCCATTGGATCAACACAAAAACAGTACAAACATTTCAATTTATATACCAAGTATGGAACTGAAGATGTCTTTCTAAATATGCATTCCTCCATCTACTGACAATATTTCTGAATGGCTTTATTATTTGTGAAATTAATTTTTTATCGTAAGACTTGAGGTTCTCACAGCGGTGAATATGAAGATTTCTGTCTTCTGGGTTATTGCGCTGTGTAGTCTGGTCGATGTTAACCAACGTTTCAGAGGTCATACTGCCTCCGTCATCAGGGCGATGAATATGCCAATAGGGTGTGAGGAGTTGGATTTATAGGC